TGGTGAAAGACGCGCACGTAGCTTGCGCACATTGTCAGTGGTGAAGTAGTACTCGTGCGTGGTGAAGTACAAAAGTGCTGCTCGATAACTGATCAAAAGTCGACTCATTTGAATGAGATTTAACCTGAAATAAAGCTCTCGTTGACTGTTTTTTAAAGACATCTACTTAAGACTATGCATATCCAGATTTGATAAATTATCAATCTTCAATCTCCATTAGCTTTGCCTTTAATTATTCTTGAAACTCTTTACAGAAATTTGAATGCGCCTAGTGTTAATTGTCAGATATAGTGATTAGTATACACTATATTATGCTGTTTTTGATTATTTTTATAATAAATTTCACGTATTCAACTGGTATTAGAAAATAAAAGAAACATAAATCACATACGGGTATTTGTCTTACTTTAAAATTAGAGGAAAGCTCCACTTTCACTGCTGCATTTATGCGAAAACTTATTTCACCGAATAAAGATATGATTCATATTAAATAAACATACTATAATACCGGATAGATGGTACGCACCTTTTACCCTTCTCACCAAAAATTTTTAGCAAGACCTCAGCGAAATACAATGGAATCGTTTCTAAGAAAAACTCCGCAATTTTTAGCGCAAACCTGAAATTGAGATAGCATTTTAGTAGGAAGCAAATAATATGCGGAGTTTTAAATCTATGTATTAAAAGTTTACTTTAATTATTAAGATACTTTCGCCGCGATAAGTTTTTATTAATCGAAATAAGCTTTGGTATTCGTCTAATAGGACTCTTTTAATGATACACTTGAACTATTTATTCTAAAAGACATTAGAGATATGACTGATATAATTCTTACTCGTTTGATACCACGTACACTGAAGGATACCACATGGTTTTGGAGGAAGGGTTTTCCCTGAGTTCTTCTAACATAGCCTCGTGTATCGCGCCCCAGGTGGTGGGGTTCTCTATGGAGCTGCCGTTGTACACGCGGACTTCGGAGAGGCTATATCATGATATATTTCTGTATTATATTTTTACATAATACCGACTTCGATCTTTAAAAAAGCGAGCAATAATACTTACCTTACCTTAAAAGCACTTATATTATTCAAGAAATTGCTATTGAAATTGATTATACTTTCTACAGAAAAGCTCCACCATCAATAGTAGTTTCTTGAATAATTAAACTACTTATAAGTATTATTACTCATTTTTTTCAAGTTTAAATTCTATTTAAATTTTATTCTTTATATTATTATATTAAAAAAGAAAATTCTTTCATTGTTTTTAGTGAACCTTATACATTTTTTTTGTATAGGTATCATTGAAAATAGATGTTGAATTTGTAACGGCTGTTCTGGAGATTTTGTTTATTTGTATGAGACCTGTAGCCATTTTTATATTTATGTATTATCTACCAATTTTATATACATACGTAGGTATGTGATATACCTAAAATTGGTTTACAGTTCTGTAAACGGAGAACTATATGATCAACGACAACAAAAATGTACGTTACCTACCCATCGAATATATTTTGTTTTCTTCGATGATATAAACAGGTCATCAAAGTAATTTTTAGAGTATTTGGCGATATGGATCCAGTTATTTTGTAACAAAAACGTAACTACTAATACTAATCTGATATCTATAAAATTCTATCACCTCAAGCCCATAAACTTTTTATCACAAAATATGTTTTAAAATCAGCCAAGAATACCCGGAAGAATCTGTGAACATACATAAAATACATACATCGCCGTCTAATACAGATTCGTATTCTTTTCGATTATGAAGTCGGTTAAAGTTATCCTAAATAACGTCAACAAATAGTTAATTTTTTCTATAATTTGGATTTTCTATATAAAATATAAATCGTCCTACTCTTTATGTTTACAACGCGTTTTCAAAGCGTTTCACGAAATCAACTTTAAAGTTAGAATTTGCAATGACAAAATTTACAAGCCGCTAAGAGATTGAATTGTTACAACTCTTTGTTAGCGAACTTCTATGCCATTATAACTATTTAATTTTCTGCTCGAACGAGATATGAGTGCCGACAATGCTTGCTGAGACTTTTTGTGTTTTGTGCCGACATATAAAGTTACACTTACTTGTCTATAGCCGTCTCCCAAGCAACAGCGATAAGCGTATCGACGCAAATGTCAACAGGAAGAAAGTCTGCGCGGAAATCTTTACCACAGATCAGTACACGCATTACTCCCCTTGTATAGCCAACTATCATTGTTGCTGGCCCGTTAAAGCCTTGTATCCAGCCAGGGAATGGGTCCCGAAGGGATGACGTTACTTAACACACAAAATTTTATTTTTTTCAATCAATCTATTTAATGGAGACAATGTGACCTATCTTTAGATTTGGTATTATTTTAGTCAAAATCTTCGAAATTTCGAAGGCAGTTGTAGGTTCACAATTATTTATTTCATGTCACAAAGCATTAAATAATAAATATATTACATATATGTGAACACTTATAAAACAATTTTAGGAATGTATGGATAAAACAAAAAAAAAATATAAAGATAAACGACTGAAAAAAAATAATATCATAATTTTTCATTTTCAATAAAAATAAAAACACAAAAAGTTGGTATCTACTTTTTGTGTTTTTATTTTTATACTAACAATTTTTTAAGTTCGGTCCATATTACTTACTTCTAGCTTGTAATAAATGGACACCTTCGTTTGTATTTAATTTACTGGATAAACATTTATTGTGTTGGTAGCAGTTCCAACTTAACCTAGCCCACTACTCTTGAAGCAATTCGTTTTTATTGGGGTCGCAGTTCTAACCTAACCTAACCTACTGTTCTGGTAACAGATCGTTTCTTAAGCCATTTACTAAGTTTTAAACTAAGTTTTACTTGTAAAAAATAAAACAAAAAAGTATCATTTCAATCCAATGTCTAATTTACGAAAAGAAAATTGTCAAACATATAGACACACATATATACGATTATACGAGGGTCAAACTGAAAGTTCTTAGAACTGGCCACTTATAAACAATATAATAAAAAAATAATTCTAAAATTTGAAAATATAACTCTTTGCCAATATTACTGAGTATATATTTCATTTGTCATTTGTTTTACGATTTGGCGGCAAATTGAAAATTGTCTGTGTCACGTCATCATGAATTTAACACGAGAAAATTTTCGTGCAATGATTTTTTATGACTTTCGATGTCATTTAAGTCAACAAGAAAGTTATGATAGACTACGATTGGCCTTTCACGATGAAGCCCCATCTCGTGCGACTGTTTACAACTGGTTTAATGAGTTTAAACGTGGTCGCACTAATCTCACTGATGATTTACGTGAGGGACGGCCTTCTACGGCGACGACTGAAGATAACATCTGTGTTGTGCGGCGTATGATAGAGACTGACAAAAGAGTGACCTATCAACAGATTCGGACAAGCTTAGGCATCGGTATGAGTCAAGTGCACAAAATCCTCCACGAACATTTAGCGGTCAGGAAGCTTTGCGCCCGGTGGATACCTCATAATTTGACTGAGGCTCAAAAACTCCATCGTGTGGATTGGTGTCGTAAAATGATTGAAAGATTTAACGGAGGTGACTCAAATGCTGTGTTCGACATACTAACAGGTGACGAAAGCTGGATTTACTGTTATGATCCTAAAACCAAAAGACAATCTGCTCAGTGGGTGTTTCCTTTCGAGGAGTTGCCAACTAAAGTGAAGAGAGATCGAAGTGCGGGAAAAAAAATGGTGGCCTCGTTCTTTGGAAGGATAGGTCATTTTGCAACAATTGTGTTAGAGGATCAAAAAACAGTTTCTGCAGAATGGTACACTACCAATTGTTTGCCACTTGTCTTGGAAAAAGTTCGAGAGAAACGACCTCGCAGTAGGATCCTCCTTCACCACGACAACGCCTCGTCGCACACCGCCAAGCGAACGATCGACTATTTGGCGACATCAAACGTTGAATTACTGGGTCACCCGCCGTATAGCCCCGACCTCGCGCCTTGTGATTTTTATTTATTTCCAAAAATTAAAGAAAAACTTAAAGGAAAGCGGTTTATGAATGCTGAAGAAGCGGTGGCTGCGTATCGCGATGCCATTGAAGAGACCCCTAAGGACGAGTGGGCAAAGTGCTTTTCCCAGTGGTTCCATCGCATGCAGCGGTGTATTGACGTGAATGGACAATATTTTGAAAAGATATAATCAAACTAATAACTGGCTAATGTAATCAGTTTTTGATTTTCTAAGAACTTTCAGTTTGACCCTCGTATATCTATAAAATATAGCACACGTGTTTAGAACCGCATATAAGCTAATATAGATGAATATTCCGCCATATTCCATCAAAATTATATACTTATAGGTCAAATTGATTACCTATTTCTTTTAAGGTCTATTATAAACGTACCGATCAATTTGAGTCTCTTATTTATATCGGTTAATATACATACTCAGGTAAACTGACGGTCTCCTTTTTTTGAAGTTGGTTAAAAAGAACGTCATCATTTTCCTTCTTTATAAGTCGATTAATGTTTTACTCCTTTTGTAAGTAGCTTAAACTTTAATAGGTTATATCTTCAAAACTACGGAACCGATTTTATTGAAATGTATAGTGTATCCTAAGTTGAAAGCTAGGAAATCAAATAAAAAAGAATCCTTGCAATCCGGCATCTTTTTTGCGAGATATCCGTGGACAAACATACAGACATACATACACAATATATACATATATCTATAAAATTTTGCACACGTGTTCAGAAGCCTATACAGACCAACATATATGAATATTAAGCCATTCCGACGAAATTACATACACACACCTCGAATTGATGACCTCCTTTTTTGAAATCGTTTCTAAAGAAAACTTTAAATTGACTGCAAATATTTACACGTTATTGTATTTTACGTAAACCTTATTTATTATTGTTATTTATATTATTATGGGTTTTACATTATTATTTAATTTTTTTTCCAGTTTATATATTGTATTGTATAGCTATTAGATAAAATATAAAACTACCTATCGCGGGCCTGAAGATAGCCACTGGGTATCCCCTGTATCCATGTTTTTTGACCACAGTTTCTGCCAATGTCTTCGTAAAAACGTAAGTATTCGGTTTCGGCGAAATGAACCTGAAAGGCCACGAGCAATTAGTTACGCGGAGATGTGCGCCGATGACGTTGTAGCCGACGACAGCCTAACAATTTCTTTCCATGAATTATTAATTTTCCCTACACTTTAGTATGAATGGACTTGGGACTCTCATTTAATGTAAAAGTGTAGTGAATAAATAGTTGGTTTCTGAATCTAGAAAGTACAAAATTTCAATTGATTATTCTTAATAACTTAAGTTTTTTAAATTTCACAAGTCAAAAAGTCTTACACCCAGTTTCTGAATTGAGAATTTAAGTTAAGCACGTCTCAAACCTTTCTTAAACTATCTTAAATGTCACTTTAACAGGAATTCATTTCTGTTTTCAAATTTTTTAAAGGATCAGTTGATAGCAATTTGGCAAAACTAGGACGTTGTGCTACGTGAAACGTAAAAATCTTAAGTTATTGAGAATAATCAGTTGAGAATTGTACTTTCCTTAATTCAGAATCCGGATGTTAGTTTTTTATCAAACTGTTATCAACTGATAATTAAAAAAACTAAATTCAGAAACGAAAACCTGTTTAAGAGATGTTTAAGTACAGTTTGAGACGTTCTTAACTCTAAATTCTTAATTCAGAAACCGGGCGACAAACAGACATTTCCCTAAAATAATCACTCTACCGTGCTACCACATTCTTTGTATCAACAAGAACAGGGGATATTCTTGTCACTACAAAGGTTGCAGTTAATGTGGTGGAAAAATCAATAATTTCTAGAATATTGACAAGTAACATAGAAACATCTTGACCAATCTTAAAAAGTTTATAATTCAAGTAAATTAAATTAGAAATGTTGAAGGAAACAAACAAATTATTAAGTTTTATCAAAGTAATATGAGTAAGATCTCACATAGGCTAAGCACATTTGTAAATGTTTGGTATTGTCCGATGCAATTATTAGTCTTTAGCAATAATGATAATACTTTTAATATCATTATTGCTAAAGATATGAACGATGGTCACCTTTTTACTTCGGCCTGCGTCAATTGTCCTCCGTTAAGGCAGTTCTCGACCATATCATCAAGTGGCCGTGGAAGTGGATAGACAGTCTCTTCTACCACGTAGCGTTCCGCATGGCAATATGCTGTAGACACGTGGACAAAAGCCTATCCCAACAATAATCCAACTTAATTTATTCTAGAATTATGCTTTAGATTAAATGTGTGGTAGCAAAATTTAAGGTTCCTGAGATATAACTATAAAATTTAAATTGTTCTCGTACCGTCATGTTGGGTAACTGATCGCAGATGTCCAATATGAACATGGGTGCTATTATATTCATCTGTGCTGACACATCCAATTTTTCTTCCATGTTGACTGTGGCAGCCACATGAAATACCACAGATACCTAAAATATAAGTGTTTGATAATAACCAAATATATATCGTGTTGTGCTAAATGTATTATACCTATATGCAATCAGGTAGAATAATTCATATTTCAGCAATTGATTTAGAGAATTCAATTCCTACAGTAGGTATATTAAGGTTTGAAATCAACTAAAGATTTTTTGACAGTTTTGTATATCTCGAAGTGCTGTTGTCTGTATATTACTCGCTCTCTTAGCTTTGATATATTATGATTTCTGACCTTTTCTTGTCAGTAGAGCATTGTTATTACTTTTTCTTCGTCTATTAGAAGCAGTTGTTCAATAATTCTTATTTCTATTCTGAATTATATGATGATCTTTGAAATAAATTGTTGTTTCGTGCCAAAATTACCACCTTTTACAATATTCTATGTGTTTTTTATGGTATTGAGATATTCATGTAATCGTATTTTTATCTCCTTAAAAAAAGATACTTACGTTATTCAGATCCGCAATAGTGTTCTCGGTGAATCCAAAATGTAATTTCTTGATATCTCCTGATATGAGATTCAGTTTATTCAGCTGGCCCGGATTATTCTTGCGCAAGACATCGAATACCTGCATCGACTATTCTATCACAAACTTTGTGGGTATATTTTTTTATTTCATATCTAATATTATTATAATATATGTATTTAAGAGAGTAATGTGCCAAGTTTAGGTTAGTATTACACACAGCCAAGTAAGATTATTACAGTAATATTAACAGCACGCGTAGCATGATAAACTCATGAATTGTTTTGTATATATCCAAATGTAATTTTGTTCTGAATCTGTTATTGTATTGACGTACCCAAGAAAAGTACATATGGTGTAAAACAATCGTTTCTCAAGTTCCTCCTGCTACGCGCCTCGTGTTAATTAAAGTCACAAGTAGAATGTTGTTATTTAATAGAGGTAAAGAAACACACATGTAATGAGTCCATAAAATTTTGCAAAATAGATATTTGTTAGAGATGTTTCTTTACTGCAAGATGAAGTCAATATTCGTGTAAAATCATATACGCCTGTGCCCATTAAGACGCAGACATTTTGACGATTTATTTGCAGTCTAATTATCAGAAATTAGTACTCTGGTAAGGGAGGCACCCAATTTTTTTTTCTTTCAGTAATTTACTTTACCACTTTGTTGGCGTAATTGACAAGTATACTTATGCCAAATTACAACTTTCTAGTACCAATACTTTTGGAGCTAAGCCGCGGACGAGCGGAAAGATGGACATAGTGAAACTATAAGGGTCTAAAAATAAACATAAGTTTTTTGAAGTTCTAAAGCCTACCATTTTTTGTATTATTGAGTTGTGATTGTCTTCAATGTTATTAGTGTTAAATATATTGCTTAGTTCCTTATGCCTACTCACTGGCGATTCCTTGAGCTTTTGTAGTCTCGCCTCTGGTGCTTCTCTATTCTTAACTCTCATCAGCAGGTGTAGACGGCCAATGTCAGGGCACGTAGACAGCAGTCGTTCAACTAACACCTGGATGTTTTAAAAATTTCGGTGATAAAACGATAGATAATTATTGTGCATGTTGTTTGAAAAGTACCGAGAGAATTTTAATACTATGTGAAGAAGATGCGGTACTATACTATTTCACACTTCAATTTTATATGCCTATAGGTATGCAGAATTTTAATATATTTATGATGATATATGATGCATACAGCTCCTAAAAATCATGTAACAAAAACAGTCCATTGCCTCACTTGATTTTTAACCTTAATACCTATACTGAGACGCTCGGTGGCGTAGTGGAACCAACTTTTGCGAGGGTTAGTTACGGGATGTGTGACTAAAAAGTATTATTTCGACCTACTTCGTACTTTGAAAGGCACGTTAAACCGTTGGTAGCCGGTACGAATTCATAAGGAAGGTCTGAGCCCCTGCAGTGGGTACATTAAAAGGCTAAAGATGACCTTTACTGTGGCAAGAAGCAAGAAAAAGAAGCATGGCCGCCTTCGCTGTTTCGTAAGCAGACGCTCGTGTAATAATTTGCTTCAAAACCTAATATAAATATTACTGGAATTTTATTGACTGTTTAGTATTCCATAAATTCCTGCCTGATGTGATAATAGAAGTGACTACCAAATCTGTAGTGCAGTTTGTGAGTTTTGCTGGCCGGCCGGCACACTGCCTATTAGTCAGTGAATCCTTTCCATTCCTGCCTATCCAGGTTAATGTATGCATTTTCTTACTTTTGAGATCACAGGGTTAAGGAAATATCATCACATAAATGCAATAGATTCTTCAGCGAGATCTAATCGTATATATACCGTGTATACATACATATTCATTTAGTAATAAGCAGTTATTGTAATATTACATACAGACACTATGACTTTTTTTATTTGTATAGAAGATTTCTTAATCAAATATAACATTTATAATTTCATTTATATTTAAATATTGTTATTTTTTTCATGATTATTTTATTTATCATAAGTAGCAACAAGTTTATATACATCTATTTAAGATTCCGTATCCAAGGGAAATACTAAAAATACTAAAAAAACACAATAATATACATTTAAAAAGGGTTCTCATACTATGACTCTGATGTTTTATGTGTGGAACATTGTTCTTATGTATCTCAAATGTTAGTAGGTTAAAAAAGGTCACATAATCATCACCGAAAACGTAAAATGTTTAAAAGAATTATGAAGTTTTTCGCGTCAGGTAGTTAGTAAATATATATATTAATAATGAGTCTTACTTTGCCTATAAATCCGGTGGCTCCTGTGATGAACACTTCCCTGCCCGCGTAGAACTGTGGTATAATCGCTATACTGCTGACATCCTTGCTGTCCATCTTCGACGTCATGATACCAAGCCACTACTAACATAATACTGTACATGTATCATATAATTAATGGGAAGAAAATTTTCGGGGATTAAGGGGAAGAAAATCTCTGTCATATGTCATCACATAGATCGCTTTCTAAAAAAAATATTTATACTATATGTCCGTATCAGGCTAAGCGTTTAGATTATATGATTTAAATTGAAGACTAGACGCTTTTGATAGTTTAAAATTCATTAATCATCGTCATCATCAGCTTATTAATGGATCCCTGTTGGCGCATATGCCTTCCCTATGGATGGAATCGAATCGAATAAGTAGAATGGGTTTATGACCCACCACGCGTGCTCAGTGTAGATTGGTGACATTTAGTCATTAGCTGTCTTTAGTGCCATTTTCAATTCCCTATTACTCGTTCATTCTTGTCAGTCCGTTCACAAAGTCTCAACATTTTCATCTCAGTTTCATGTCATTTATTTCGATTCATTAAATTACTATTAAGAATATTTTCAATTACATTTTCACTAGTAGCTTCGTACCCTATAATTTAATTCAGGCTTAGAATTGTCTGTATACGATTATAAGAAGTAATAAACGTCTAAACTTATAATTTTCGCTTTTATAATATAGTACAATTACTGTTTCAATTTTATTCATGCACACAATGAACTCTTTCCACGATTTTGTTTCAAATTCAATTACGTACCTAGATGATTACTTTACACTCTGTCAGTCCCCTTATTTCCAAAAAAAAATAGTCATAGCCAAAATTGTTAATGGAAATGTTATATATTTTATAGCATTTTGAGTTGAGGACATTTAATTAAAAAGTAGATATCTATATAAAAACTGATATTTTTGACTACAAATTTCATTCCCCTCTCTAATTTTGGTGCTAAAGGGCTACTCAAAACAATTATTTAATTCAAAATAAAGTTACCTTTAAAATATTAACCTGATTGCTGCGTTGTTGTATAAAGAATAACTATATATCACTGTGCGTGCGTTCATGTCTATGAGTAAATAATTTAATTTACGTCAATCTGAGTCATAAATACCTTTGAGCTTTACAATAATTGCCTAAATTTTTTTGGATAAGAGTGAACGTCCGCACATTAGGATTCTGTATATTAAGGCTAAGATTTTTATGACTTTGTATATTATTATGGTAATATAATATAGTAAACGATAGAAGTTGCACAGAATGTTTATTTTATGATAGTAAGGCATATTGAGCCGACATCAAATTAAAAGTTCACGTTGCCGCAGCTGGCGTATTTATCATAGGGCCAAAATGGTTATGGCCTGTGGCGGTCCCTGTTCATTTCTTACCATGACTTTTTAGGGTTCCGTACCCAAAGGGTATAAACGGGACCCTATCACTAAGATTCCGCTGTCCTTTGGCCTATCATCATGCTGTATTTCATACACCGTAGTAGCTGGATAGTTGAAAATTTTACAGATAATGTATTTTTGTTGGCGCTATTACAACAAATACTAAAACAGAATAAGATAAAATTAATTTAGTTTAGGCAGGTTCCTGGTAAGTAGCTCTTAATTATGCGCGGAGGTCAAACGCATTAAATAATGTACTTAGTTACTATCTTTCACAAAGAACAGAAGGAGTATTCCGTATTGTAAGAGATCGAGAAATCTTTTTTAAATATTTTGTATTATATTAAAATTATAGTTCACCTTTCAAATGACAGAAAAAGTTGAAGCTTATCTATATATATACAACGTGTCCCAAAATTCAACGATAAGCGGGCGCCAAGAGGTAGACCTGCTCATGTGTACTTATGGAAAAATAAGAAAAAAGGGTTTAGCCGGATACGTATGACGAGTCGGCCCCCAAATGGGAATCGATATTGAAACTTATGTTTTAATATCGACTTGATGTTCAAACACGATTTATGTACTTTTCGCGACCGACTTCCGCTTTGACCTTGAGATAGAGAGCAAAATATCCGTATGCTTGACTATTACTGAATGTGATATATCTCTGAAGCTAATTAAGATAAAGAAGTGAAACTAACGCGAGGTGTTAGGTTACATTAGAGAGTATATCACATATATTTTTTTATAATTTTTAGAATAAAAAATTACATTAAAAAAATAAAAATAAAAAAAAACTTGTTTTTTTT